TTACATTTCAATGTCTCACATCATCCTTTCATTTATAAATTATAGTATGATTAACACAAAATACTAAATTATTAAAAACATAATACATAAAAGAAATGATATTATAGAATTAAAAATTTTCAAAGACGAAATTATATGTTTAACCTAGTTTCAAACACTTTGCAATGCAATTCCTTCACTTGTCATTTTCCTGAAAAGAACAAATAAGAAATATCGACCAGCTTTATTTATTTTAAGATAATATTATCAATAAATTTTAAAGATTATTTAAAAAAAGGAGGGAAAAAAGAGGGAGAACTGACAAAGGAAATAGCAGGCCACGTGCTGAGCCTTGACTTTTCCCGCTTTATTGATGGACTATGCATTTTAAAATTACATTATTTTTAACTATATTGAATTTTCAATTTTATTATGATTTCAAATTATTATTCGTACTTCAAATTTAAATGTAGGTGAGAAAAAGATTTAATTTGACATTAATGTCATTTAATATTTTGACTACAAATTCATGTCATGTCGATTGATATCAATAATGTTAAATGAGACCAAATATAAGTTGGAACAATAATTTCTCAAAATAAGTTTGATATATCAATGACCTTTAAATTACTAAGAAAAAATATGGAGATTTAATTAATTATAAATGAATTTTGACTACCATTTTTGAAATATGTAGTAAAATATATCCAAGTTCAAACTATACCTAATAACAAAATAAAATTTAGAAGTTAGAAGTTCTTTTTCGGGGATTGAACTTATAACTTCTTGATTGGAGATATATGTCAATTACCGCTGAACTATAGTCGCGTTAGCTAAAAAATAGAAGTCTTGCTAAGTGAAATTCAAATTTGAAAGAAAAATGATTGGCATCATCTAAAAATTTGAACAACTCATTTATTAAGATTATAACAATAATTAGTTCAAAGTACGTTCAATTAATGGTTGAGTAAAATAAGCTTGTCTTAAGCATTCAATATAACATCTAAAAATGGAGAATACACTCTCTTAATGTAAGTAAGAGAAATAATTATTCAATTCTATGATATATTTAAAGAAAGGTATTTAATATATCTTAATCACACACAACACCCAACTTCTCCATGAATGTGATCCTATCTACAACTATTCTCCATTAGACTCAAATTTAAATTTGAATAATTTATGTAATTCAATTTGAAAAATAAATTTAAACCTAATTTAAGTTATTCATAATTTTTAAAAAATGTTTTCTTTGACATAGTTATCGTTACGAGGAATTGTTGAAGAATAATGAATATTGCAAAAAAATACATCCTTTTGTATTTCAAGAGATACAATATAAGATATATTGTATATATACTTCTTTTATAACATTTGTTATCTCATAAATACTTTGAATAAGTATTATTGTAAAAAAAAAAAAATATCTGTCTCCTGTCCTTTATGTTTGTGTAAATTTCGATTCAATACTCTTACTGAGCTCAATTTCATTTTTGTATTTTAATTTTTACCGTTAATTTTTTTTTTACTGCTTATTATTAGTCATGACAACATTGATTAAAAAACATGAAAATATGCAAATAAAAATGTATGATTTACCCAAAAAAAAAAAAAAAAAAAAAACCTTGTACAAGGCACCGGCCTAGTTTGATATGGTTTATTTTGATACCCAATAAGCTTGCCGGATTTGAAACACAAGGGAGATATTGAAAAGGGAGTGAGATATTTTTGGAAAAAAGAAAGTTTGCCAAAACCAACCAAACAAGGCTCACGGCTTCCCTTCAAAGCAAAACACCTCAAATGTCAAAATATCTCACATGGTCACCGCCGGTCGAAGAGAGAAACCTGATAATGATTTAAAGTGTGTTTGCAAGTAAGGATAAAATAAGTGACTTTGAAAATAGATATTTAGATATAATTGATTTTTTTAAATTACAAAGAAAGTTATTTTTTACCATGCGTCAAAATCATTATTGAATAGACCAATATTTTTTTTTCTTGTTTTTTATTTCTCGTTCCTTCTTTTTCAATTGCATATGCGATCCAAGGAAGTTAAGAGGCTCCCGTGGATTTAAAAACTAAACAGCATATATTAGATAATGTAAAAATATTAGTGCAATTTCATTTTGGCACAGTGGAGCCTGCATTCTACATTCCTGGACGGATGGGAATCGATCCTACAGAGTGTATTTTTTAAAAATGTTGTCAAGTTTTTTTTTTCATTAAAAAATTACAATTTCTATATAATTTAATTATTAAAATTAAATGTTTTTTTATTTATTATGTATTTTTAAAATAAAAAACTAAAAAAATTTTATCTATATTTAAAAAACGAAAAACAATAAACAACAAATTTAATTTTGTTGTTTACAAAATTTCTATACAATTTTGAAAAAAATTTTAAAAATAAAAAACGAGTAACCAGAACAATTATCAAAAGCTTTTGTTTCTCAAAAATTAGAAACAATAATATGTTATCATTTCTTGTTTCTATTTCCTTATTTTTAATAATAATAAAAAAAATTGTATTACCTAACACCGATGGATTCAAAAATGATAAGACTCTATTCTTAATTATGTTTTGGAACAAATAAAAAATGAGAAGAAAAAAAATAAGAAACTTGTTTTTGTTGTATCAAGAAATTCTATACCATTTTAAAAATACTTCTAAAAAAATAGAAAAAATAAATAAATAATTACCAAATACTTAATAAAATTAGAAACGAACAAAACAAAACCGAAGACCCATATTAATACAATAGTCGTATCAACCGTTGTTGGAATTAAAAAAATATATATAATTTATAAATTTTTTTGTCTTTATTTTCAAAAACTATTTTTAATCCTGAATTCAAAAAGTCAATGATACAATGTACATTGAAATTAGGTCAAATTTAATTCACAAACTCTAAAATGGTTCAATTATATATTTAAAGTTAATTCATGTTATTAACACCATTGTTTATCAAGTAATATGTTATGTGGATTGAACTAAAAAGTGTGACATATTAATTTAGCAAAACAATATAATACAAATAACTAAGCTAGTTAGATAAAATCAGAATATCCCACCCAATTTTCTTACACATATTATGCCAACCATGTAATGATTTTTTTTTTTCTTTTTTTACTGGTCCGCTCTCATTTATTATTTATGAAATTGTGATTTTAGAAGAAACGATTAAGTATGTTTATAAAGTTTTTTGATGTTGTAAAAATAAACTTCATTAATCGAATTGAAGTTTGAAATGGAAGACGAAGAACACATTACAGCTGCAACTTCTCGGGAAAAGCAAAAGCCACTTCACTCTCTGCCTTCCAGATGAAATTTAAGTGCCACTGCCACTGCCACTGCCAGCCTCAAGTTTTTTATTTTTTTCTTTTTAACTTGTTCGATAAAAAATTTAAAACTTTTATTCCTCGGCAACTTCCCATGCTACGTTTCTTTTAATCATTTATCATGACTCCATTTTATTAAAAGATGTAACTGAATAATTTTTTAACAATTTTGCTATTTGTTATTAAAAAATAAATGTAGAATCTTTCTGTTTGGTTTTTTATTTTGTTTCTAGAACTATTTTGGGAAACTTTTACTTTCATTTTTAAATAAAAGAAAGCATTTGTTAAAGTATTTTATATTTTCTAATTAATTTTTTTTTTTTTTACAAAGAGTTGTTTAAACTTAAAGCTAATTGTTGTACCTTCTTAGATAATAATAGATATCAATTGGTCTTAAAAAGTTTACTAACTGTAAGTTGAAGTAAATTAGTGTTTGATATATTTTAGTTAAAAAACAAACAATAGGTGGCACTGAATTAATCTTAGTTTTTGTTGAAGGCATAAAGCATAAAGGATAAATACTCTGACAATCTCCTCTAGTGGTTTGAGACGGTCTAATCTAGATGACAGGCGAACAACCACCTAGTTGGCCTCAGACATTCATCCATCAAGGAAATGACTTGTTACACTTAGCCAAAATCTGGGTGCGAAGGTATCAAATTTAGCACAACCAGCATGAACATCTCTGACAGAAATTGCTGCAACCCAAACTTAGGAATAGGGAGTCCAATCTTCCTACTGACTTGTTCGCTCTTAATCCGATTTTATAAATCAACTATTTTTTTTAAGGATGAGGGGCGAACTCACGACCTTTTTATTGGAGACTATGGCAATTATCGCTAAGATATGATCGTTTTGACATTATAAATCAACTAATTGGAAAGTAATTCTATTTAAATTATTAAAATTTAATTTTATCAAATACTAAAATAAATAAATTTATTGGATTCATTTTTTATGCTGCCAAGTTGAATCCAAACCAAGCATTATTAATCAATTTTTCTTTTTCGCTTCTTTTCTTTTTTGGAAGTAAGACTTAATCAATTACCATTTACCAGTCTCGCCTAATAATTTTCATTACTGATTAAATCATAAACAATATCATATAATAGCGTTTTTTTATAGAAAATATAATTGCTTTTAATTATAGAAAACCGTCTAATCTTCATTTTTTTTTCTTTTTCCCTTTTGAGAAGAGAGACAACTCATTTTATTACCACTAATATTACTTACTACATTAAATAACTTACCACATTTATTAACAACGGACCTCAAATTCACCTTTTAAAAAAAAACGCTATTAGACAAATATCGTTCAATGTTTTAAAAAAATATGATAAATATAGTTCAATTATAGAAGCTTTATATTTAAAATTGGTCCTCTAAAATTTCATTTTTCATTCTCTTTTTCTATCTAATAATTTTGGAAAAAAAAAACATCACATAAATTTAATTTAAAATAATAATAGCTAGATTAAATGGTCCATAATGTGACAGTTTAGTACCTCCAATTTTGAAAAAAGTTCAAAATGATTGATAACATTAAATTGCCATTATGCTGCACCATAGCAACCAAATAGAACAATAAATTATTCCAAGTTTAACAAATAACTTAGGACACAAATCATTGTGACTAAACAAAAACATTACAAAACATGAAAACAAAAATATAAATCTTAGACTGAAAGAAAAGTGAAAATTTGTTATATATTATTTTATTAGCATGGGCCAGAGGACAATTTGGAATCCAAAACAGAATTTCCCAATCTGCCCTTCTACAAAAAAGAAGCCAACTTAATCCCCTTTCTCTTTTACAGAGAGTTCAAACACAAAACCGAAAAACCCCCCCTTTCCCTTTTTGCCATTCCCATTACAATTCATCACCCAAGTTGGCCTTTCAGCCCAATCAAAACAACAATAAACCCACTTAACACACAACTTTATTTCATCTAAATCCTATCCCCAAAAAACCAAAAACCCTTTTCTTCTCTCTTTTTTCCTTTCCTTTCCTTTCCTTTCCTTTCTCCCAATCACTCACTTCCCTCCCCCTATCTTACCCTTTTCCTATAACAATAATACTCTATTCCTATAATAACCCACTAATCTAACTTCTAAAACATCTCTTAATTAACTCTTTTCTTTATCTTCTTCTTCTTCTTCTTCTTCTTCTTCTCCTACCCTTTTGATTGCCCTAAAATATAACATTAAGCAGTTAGTAAAATCTAATCCCCCATCCATTTCTTTTTCTAATGGTGGTGCTGTTGCTTCAGTAAGTCCACTCCTGTGGTAGCCGGATGTCATGGTTCACCACCGGCACCGCCGCCCGGAGATTCCCCTTTTGCTGAGATCCCAAACACTCGCTGCGGACTCTCACACAAACATCTGATTAAAACAACAGTATAACATCAGCAAAAAGGGACTCTCAATCATGGGGTTTGAACAAATAATAAATGTGAAGATTCAGGGGAGCTTCTTCTTACCGTTCTTCCCTGCGTTGAAAACTGGAGGGGAACGGGATTGAAGAGGAGGCTGGGGCTGGATTCGTTGAACGTACATGTCGTCTAAGTTTAGATTCAGAGCTTGCATCACTCTTGCAGGAACTAACACAGTCGAGCAAGCTGTTGCAGAGTCCAAAACCCCCCATTAAAATGAGAACTAAAGAGCTCGAAGGTAAATCTAAGATTTCATGAGAACATATAAAACCCATTACAGACCTGGCTTCTTGCGGGATTCAGAGACGGCGCCGACTTGCCGAGGCAAAAACACGCCAGTGCCGGCGCATTCCCTCTTGCCACCCGGAACGCCGAGAAACACCGCCCTCATGCCGGAGCCGTTCGGCGGGGGATTCACGGCGTGTTTCCGTGGAGCAGCCCAAGTGGGAGGGGAAGGTAAGCCAGAAGCAGGGCGACAGTTTCTGCCACTGAAGAAATCGCTGTTTCTTCCTCTGTTCTGCGGCATTTGGGGACCCTGCTGGTGCTGGTGCTCGTGCTGAAGGTTTCTAACAGAGCAGCCCTTTGACTGCCCTACCCGAGCAGCCGCCGCCGCCACCGCCGCCGAGTTCAGTTGCTCCATGAGCTGTTGCCGTCGCAGATGTAAAAACTGTCCAAAAAATACAAACCCCCAGACTGAATTAAGAGACAAGCAAAACACTAAAATAAATAAGGGAAATGGTTCAAGATTCTGTACTACTTACCTGAGATGCCTGCAGCTGCTGGTAAACTCCGGCGTCGGGTTCCCGGTTTTTTACAGGAACAGAGACGGGAGAGGGCTTTCTCGGCGGAGGGAGGGGTCCACGGTTGTTGATTAAGCCGTAGGCTTCTTCATTCAGACGCATCTTGGAGACTTCGCCGGCCGCGGCGTAGAGCAGATCCAAAGTGAGCTGCGGCTGAGAAGCAGCTTGGGAATAATGACCGTTGGGGCTTCCTCTGCTACAGCCCTGTTTGCAGCCGCACCCACTTCCTACAGCGCACAGCGTTGACTGTGGAGAACCAGAAGAGCCCCAACCCTGCATTCAAAAAACCCCAAAATCAGAAAGGGAACAAACATAAAAGGGGATGAAAGAAAAAGAAACTAAGAAAATTTTAGCATCTAATACGTGAGAGTTGTCGAGGCCAAATCCATCCTCCAGCGTGGAACGCGCCATTTGGTGAGTCAATCCAGCGATGTATTCCTCCTCATCGCTCTCGGTCTCGCTGGAACCAATGAGAGATTCAACCGGCGAGCCGAGATCAGAAGTAACCCCAAAAGGCCCAAACCCGAGAGGGAACTCAAACGGGTAGGAGCTAACTCCATCCCTCCCATTCTTAACATCATTTCCCCCACACTTGTCCTCCAAGAACAAGTCGTCGTCGTTAAGGAACTTGGGAGGAAGCCAGAACTCGCCGTCGTCCAAACTCTCAGCCATTTCAGAGACTTCAAAAGAACCCCAGAAGAACAATATTCCACTTCACCAAAAAGCAAGAACAACACAAAAACACCGAGGACGATAGAGAGAGAGAGAGAAAGAAAGGAGTGCTAGACTTTGATGATGGGGTTTTTTGCCGCTTGGTTAAGGTTTAATTATAAGACAAGAACTGAGTATGAATAGGGTTTGAAGGGCCCCAGTCAAATCAAAACCCAAACAAAAAAAAGGAAGAAGAAAAAGGAGAGGATTAAGCACAGAGAGTGAGCCCTAAAAAGAGGAGAATAGAAAAATACAGAGAGGCGGGGAAGAAGGAGGTCCGAAGGAGAAGCCTCGGAGTACGTTTTAAAAGCACAGGAAGTGGAAAAGTTTATAAAAGAGAAATGGGAGGGGGAGCCTCACGCGCTTGTGCACGGAGCGTGGATGATACGCGCGGGGCGTTAGTGGGGAGACGGTTTCTCGGTGGCCGGGAAACGTAGTGGGGCCCACCCTGGCAAATGGACGCCACTCGCTCCACCATGTGACTAGGCCCCATCCCATGGATTAAATATTTTATTTTTTATTTTTTACTTTTAAATTAGAGAGAAAAAAAAAAAAAGAAGAACGGTGCATTGAGAAGAGAGTGGGTGTCCCCAACAAAATCGCAAAAAACCCTACACGACGCGACTTAGTGGGCCAATGGGCCTCACCTGTTCCGTTCGCGGTGGAAACTCAACCGCAATTTAAGTTTACCAAATAATAATAATAATAACCACAAATTCATAAAATAACCCTTCAATAAATATTTAATCCTCATCTCATCTCTATACTTTATATACAAGTTTTACTTATTCATTAACTCAAATTTTAGTGGGTTTGTGTTCTTAACGAGTTTGTATTAGGGTAACATCAACGCAATTACGATAATTATTCTTTTTCATATTTATTTTATTTTTAGTATTTAAAGTTTCAAATATCTTGTTTTAATTTCTGGAGTTTGAATAAAAATTATTTAAATTTTTACCGTTGGTTTTTTTTAATTATTGTATAGAATTTTGATATTGACTTACATAATCAATAATAATTTACATTCGAGGTTTTTAAATCCATTTACTTTATTTATTTATTTGTTCTTATTATTTTTAAGTTAAAAATAGTGAAACTTTAAATTAGTCCGAAAAGCTAACATGAGTTAAAGTGAAAAGTCATCTCTCAACAATTTTCTCTATCCATTAAAAAAAAGATTGAACCATAAACTATAAAAAAATTGTGATCAGTAGTTTTAGCATCAACTATCATATTCAAAGATCTTCTTACGTACAAATATAAAATCGTATGAAAAAAAGTGAAATTTCATGAATGATGAAAATCGAGTTACTTTCACCACTCAGTTTCAGTTACTTTCACCACTCAGTTTCTTACTTTCTCATTAAAAAAAAAAAACTTATTGTTAGCAGGGAATCTGACTCAATTATCAATTTTAATAAAAACTTTATAATATGATATAAATTGAATAAAAGGTTTTAGCAAATAGGTGGGGAAGGTTGGAAGAGAATATGAAATTTTAAACGTAAAAGAAGAAAAAAAAAAGTTTGTGGTTTTAGGGGGAGAATGACGGTTTTGCCCCCTATTGTGTGTGGTAGTGGTAAGGACGTGATAGAGCGATGAACTGAGTTAAAGCCTGCGCGAAGATTTGCGTGCAGGCGAAGATATTTCTCAGACGAGGGGCGACTAATTATATTTTTATTTCCTCCCCTTTTTTTTTCCTTTTTTTTTAATTTGCTATAAATATATATATCAAACTTTTCATATGAAAGAGCCAACAACTACTCATTATATTTCATAATAATAAATATATGTTAAATACATATTTTAGTCGTTGATCACTGGTTCGAAAAATCATGTCGGTCTTTAATTCAAATAGGTCGGGCACCAAGTGAGATAGACTCATTACTTATGACCAGCTCAACATAAGTCCAACTCGATATTGACCAAATGACAGCGAATGCTACTAATGAAAAATCTGTTACACCAAATTTTGGGTATTACACCATTAGGGTCACATTTCTACTTCCTAAAGCATCTCAATAGACTGTAAATAGCTTACTCGCTCCTTCTCAAATGTACGTTTTTCCATGCAACCTAAGTAAGTTCTGCTACACACCACATCACACTTACGTTCTAACTCAAGGGTTGGAGTGTATGTGGCCAAACACCACAATGATGCAAGATTCTATGCGTAGATAGTCAACTCAGTCAACCAAGCGTCCAACTCGAATACAAAGTTCACATGTTACATCATGCAAAATTATCCACCAATAATTTTGGTGTTTTTCAATAGTCTCATATGTTTTAACATTTTTTCAATCATACTCTTCCTGAATTTATAAAAATAATTATATCATTTAATAGAAGAAAAGTAAGAAATTTGAAAGAGGAATTAGCTACTTTCCTCTCTTAGGTCACCTAGAGCTTTGGCGATCCACATTTTGTTTCTTAAATTTACTGGATCAAAAAGGTTACTTGAGTAGATTTGTTTTTTAAAACTGTCTTCGAATTTTATGGCTCAAATAATGGAAAATTTAACAATTTTCAAATAATTCAAACTTTAAAATTCATAATTATATTTAAAAGTATAAAAATTTTGATAAATATATTATTTTCTGTTATAAATTCATTTTATTTTTATTAAAATTAAAACACGTAAAATATAATATATTATAAAATACATAATATTGTAAATTATAATTATACAAAATTTATAACAAAATTGTTTTAGATTAATTAATATTATTTTAAATTGAACCAAATATTTAATTAGGAACTATCACTCGTGTACAAATATATTACCAAACATATATTGAAATCTTTTTTAAAATTACACGAACTCACTAATGATTACGTCATGTAATCAATATTTTCACCAACAAAAAATATATGCATAATTTTTAAATCATATCATTAAATTGAAAAATTAACAATGGCAAATACAAGAGTTTATATAAGAATATTTATAAAAATCAATAAGTTTTAATTTTTATTACCTTCTTTAAACAATTTAATCATTATTAAATTCATTAAACTTTTTATACTTAAAAAACTTATAGAATTTGACGTGGAGTGCATGTATTTATTAGTAGTTCAAAGAATTGTCTTATTCTTTGTATGCTTATTGCAACTTCCTTTAAAATTTGTCCGTTCAAAATCTCAATAAATAATAATAATAAAAAGTCGTATTTTTGTAAACATTTGAGAGGTTTAATTAAAAGTTGCAAAGGAAAACAACAGATTTTCAAGTATTTGAAATAATATTTAAAAATGAAATATATAATAGTATATAAAAATTAGAAAATTATGATAACATGAAATGGATATGAGTAATTAGTAATTACCATTACCACTACTATTCAACTTTTAAATTAATTATTTTTCTCACATAGTAGAAGGTAAAAAGGGATTTTATTTTTTTACAAAAATCACTTTACAGGTGAAAAAAAAAAAGCCAAGAAAAAGAGGGCAGGCCGCCACGTTGGCATATTAATTACCTAGGAAGGAATTTAGCGTTGGTGAGGCATGCACACATAATTATGAATATCATGAATAAATGATGAAAATTACACGACACGTGTCCCGAGACGGAAGAAGAACCGGCATTTGTAAAAATTTCTGTACGGTTATTAAATAATTTAAACTTATCTTGAAAAAAATAAACAAACAATTTTAAAATTTTCCAACTCTACCCCGCCTCGGTCGTACCCACTGCATTTTTTCCAGCTACTAATTTCGCCCGTCTCTAAAAAACTCTGTTTGTATTTCCACGTCATCACAAAAAAAAACAGAATTTATAATTTCCCAAATAATTGTTTGACTTCAATATAATTTTCTGATGGTCAATAGCATAAATAATATCTTATAATACATATTTAGCCAAAAAAAAAAAGAAATTGTCCGGGAGGGAATCTTGAAGTCGGGGAAACGACCGGCGTGGGACGGCGGAATTGAATCACCTCCGTCGTGGACACCAATATGAATCTATAAACTATATTTGATTTTTGATTATAACGTCCGGGAATTAAATAATTACAGCCATTATTTTTTCCAAAAGAAAAAAAGAAACTAAATGTAGGTGACGTGGCGACGACGTGCAGACCTGCGGGCAAATGTCGGGTCGTTTCAATTGGTGGCCACCGCCTCAGCGGCGCGTGAGAAAAATGAGAAGGTGAAAAGCGGGTCCCACCGGTCGGGATGGTGCTCTCTGATTTCCTGCTGTCCCTATCGAACCACAGATGTAAAAAAAGAAAAAAAAACAAATAAAAAAATCAAATAAAAAAAGGAAAACAAAAAGGTAAAAAAAGGAAAACTTGTATTAATTAATAATAATCCGAAGAAAAAAGAGCTTTGGCTGTTTGGATTTGTGGAAAAAAGCACCAATTCGTCCCTGCTTTTGTAAAATTATACTTACAAAATTTTCTCATTTAACCGCACCGAAAGAGATTATTATTTATTTTATTATATATAATTACATTAATCCTAAAAATATTAAACTCATTCTATCTCTTCTGTTTAGATTATTTTAATAAATGGATTAATCTTACTTCATATTTTTCTTAAATTTAGTATTCTTAAAAAATAAGAAACATAATGCATCCAAAATATCAAGTACTCCTACTATGCATGAGGATCTATTTTTCTTATCCATCACTTCTTTTTTTTTTTTTAATAAGTACAACAGCAAGTATTTTTGTTTTTAAATAAATAAATAAAATAATAAAAATAAATTGATTAATGGAAAATGAGAAGGATTTGGGGTAGCTAGTTAGGGTTTGTTTGTGGGTGGGCCGCCGTCATCCAGAAAACAGGGCAAATGGAAGAAACAGAGGATGCCGGCCGCCGACTTAGAGAAGACATGCAAATTTATGTTTTAATTTTCTTTTTTTGTTTATAATAAATGCCTCGGCCACTTTGCTTCTGTCGTTTTTGCTAACTTAAATGTTCAATAAATTAAGGAAACACATTTATGAGCAGCATACCAACAACGTGCCTCCCATTTATTCTTCCACTCACTCACTATCTTTTTTTTTTCTTTTTAAAAAATAGTTAATGTAAAAGAAAAAAGAAAAAGAAAACCTCTTTGTTGGTATGGTGAGGCCATGATTATGGGCAGCATGTTTGAATGATAAGGGGGTGGGAAAATTATACAAAATCATATTAATCTACATCATCATAATTATTATAATCATGGGATGCTTGCAAATTATGTTTCTCTAAGTTGTAACTCAGTGATTTTTTAAGGTTTTATATATTTTTGGTATATTTGGTGCATAGCTAGAGAATGAATTAGTCGGTTCTCAA